ATAATAATAATAATAATAATAATGATAACAATATTTCTATTAATGCTATTACTACTGCTACTGATAATAATGATAATAGTAATGATAGTAGTAATAGTAGTAGTAGTAGTAAAAATAATGAGGATAATGATAATAATAATAATAATGGCAATGATAATGAAAAACAATGGTAATGATAATAATAATGATTATACCAATAACAATGACACTAATAACAATAATGATAATAATGATAATGATAATAGTAATAATAATACTAATAATAGTGATGATAATGACAATTATAATAATAATAATAGTCATAATTATCATAGTGATAATGATGATGATAATAACAATAACAATAATAATAATGATAATAAGGATGATGATAACAATGACAATAATAATAATGATAATGATAATAGTTATGGTAGTGATAATGATAATGATAATAATAATAATGGTAATGATGATAATGAAAAAGGATGAATAGGAAAATGATAACAACAACAACAACAACAATGATGATGATGATGATAAAGATAACAATGATAATGATAATAATAATGAAATCCATAATAATGATAATGGCAATGATAATGATAATATTATGATAACAGCAGAAACGATAATGATAATAAAATTAATATATGATTATTATGATGATGATAATGAAAATAATGATGATAACAATGTACATCAAATAGGCAATTAAAAACATGATGATAATGTTAGTAATTATTATCATCATGATATATATGATATAAGCAATTTAAAAAAATAAAATGATAATGTTAGTAATTACTATTATCAAAATCATCATCATTACAGATATGATGATTTTTAGTTTCTTTACTATTATTAAGATAAATCTTATTACTATCATCATTGTTGTTATTGTTATTATCATTATTTTTTATTCATTATCATTATTATTACCAATAATGCTATTATCATAATTTTATCCTTATCATTATTGCTGTTGTTATCATTATCATTATTATCGAAATATCCATTATTATCATTATCATTATCTTCATTGATGTTACGATCACTCTCATTATATCCATTGCTATTATCATTATTATTATCTTTATTATTAAACTTGTGTTTTTTTATATATCATTTTTGTTATCATAATTGTGATATGAATAAAAGTAGATAAGAGCGCTTATCTCCGCCAAGGTAATAGGGTCACTGATGCAAGAAAAACATTCACACTTGAAGAATTCCATTACAATGTCCTCTTTCTCAAGTGCGCAGGGACGCCCGTGCCGCCCTCTCTCGCCCTGCTGAGGAATCATAAAAAAAAGAAAAAAAAATCCTGGATCCGGACCATGATCCAGATCCCGATCAAAATTTGATGACACCTAAGTTGGGATGAGACACACAGCTGTTACGAGAATCATAAAAAATATTTTCTTTATTACTATTATTATTACTATAATAATGATAATAATAATAATAACAATAATAATGATAATGATTATTATTATTATTATCATTATCATTATTACTATTATCATTATTATCACTACCATTATTACTATAATTTTTTTGTTATCATCATTATTACTATTATTTTTATTATCAATACCATCATTGTTTTATCAATCATTGTTCTTTCTATAAATCTTATTATTTTTATTATCATCATTATCATTATCTTTATTGTCATCAATAGTATCATCATTGTTGTTATTATTGTTATTACTATTGTCCTTATAACTATCATTAGTACTTATCAATAAAATCACTATTGTTTTTGTTATTTTCATGGTTATTGTTATCATCTAAATTTTGATCATCTTTATCATTATCATTATTATTGATATAAAATCATGGCTGGAATCATTGGTATCGTTATTGACATTATTATTAGTGTCATTAGTGTAACTTATATTATTATAAATATCAGTCGTATTTTCAATATCGTTAAAATAATTCTTACAGGTATGGTTTTTTTTTTTTTTTTACTTTATTCTTCTTATCATTATAATTATTGCCATTATCATTATCTTTGTTATCAACCTGATCACAATTGTAGCATTCATATTACCATCAAGGAAATGACACCATGAGATACTCATGATTATCGGTCGTTTTAACCAAAATCATGGAACTACTGTAAACGAAAATTACCAGTGTAATTGGTACAGATAAGACTCTTTTCTTTGTTGAACTGTTAAAATATGAAAGACTTCATAGCTGACCACATGATGTGTGAATGAGGCATCAAAATCATTTACTCATGTGGCTGTGATTTTCTACAAACGAAAAGATGTTCTTTTATGTATTTATATATTTTGGAATATGATATTTCAGTTGGAATATAACAGGTGTGGGCGATATTTCAATTCAGTGGAATACATTTTTTTTCAGGGTGCTTATGCTGTGTTCTTTGTGTTTTGGAAAAGAAAAAATAAACTATGTGAGGATGTGAATAAAATCGACAAGGAATTATCGACCAGAAACAAATATTTTAACTGTGAAAAGTGACGATTGTAGTTTGATATTTAAGCATTAAAAGTATATGTTTTAAAAATCGAAAAAGAATAAGCATGAACTCTTGAGCTTTATGGCACATTCGGTCATAGACTGAGTAGAAAAATCCCTACATATTGTAAAAGAAAAGAAAGGAAAAATAATAATCCAAGGCGGATAGTGTTGGATTTCTCGACCTCGAAGCAAAGGTCGTCGCTCGTTCTCCATCTCGACCCCCTTTCCCGCCCCCCCCTCCCCAGGAGTGAAGGACACGCCCCCACCCCCCTCGGCTCCCTCCCCAGGCTCCCCCGTGCGGCGATGGAAAGGATGGCGGGGACGGCCGAACACCACAGCATATGCCCGATCCTGGTCCGGCTGTGGCTCCTGTTCACCATCTTCCACCATGCACAAG